TTAGGATTTAGGATTTAGGGGTTTGGGGGTTTAGGGTTTAGGGTTTAGGGGTTTGGGGGGTTTAGGATTTAGGGCTTTAGGAGTTTAGGGGTTTAGGATTTAGGGTTGAGGGGTTCAGGGGTTAGCTCAAGCTATTTTGCTGAACCCTAAACCCTAAACCCCTAGCCCTAACCTTGGCACCCCCTAAACCCCTTACCCAAAACCGCACCTAGACCCGGCACCCCTTACAGCAAAAACCCTAAACCCTAAACCCCTAAACCCTAAACCCCTAGACCCTAAACCCTAAACTTTAAACCCAAAACCCTAAAACCCTAAAGCCCTAAACCCTAGAACCCTAAACCGCTAAACCCCTGGCCCAAGCTACCTGAACCCAACCCGATCGAAGCCAGGCATCCAGGCCGTCGCCTGGGCAGAGCTGCAAGAGAGGACGCCGGCCGTTGAGGTCTAGGATTTAGCGTTTTAGAGTTTTAGGGGTTTAGGGTTTAGAGTTTTAGGGTTTAGGGGTTTAGGGTTTAGTGTTGTAGAGTTTTAGGGGTTTAGGGTTTAGGGTTTAGGGTTTTAGGGTTTAGGGGTTTAGTTTTTAGTGTTGTAGAGTTTTAGTGGTTTAGGGTTTAGGGTTTAGTGTTTTAGGGTTTTAGGGTTTAGGGGTTTAGTTGTTTTTGGGTCTTTAGGGTCTAGGGTCTTCAGGGTTTGGGGCTTGTTAGGGTTCAGTGTTTAGGGCTTGTTAGGGTATGTTAGGGTGCAGGGTTTGGCTTTTTTGGGGTTTAGGGTTTGGGGTGGGGTTTATGTATTGGAAGCTGGGATGTTACCTCAAACCCAGATCTTAAACCCTAACAGGTAGCGAACAGAGGGACTCTTTGTTGTGTTCCTGGAGAAAGCCCCACACTCTCGCGGCCTCTAAACTCTCAACCCTACCTAATGTTTCAAGCCATTAAGGTCAAAAACAAAATCGTGAACCCTCTATGGAGCCCTTCAATGAACACTTCGACTCATACGCCGGGGAGAACTATGCTACACTAACCCCGCAACCCCGTTGCCTGTAGAAAGGCCCCGAAACCCTGATACCCGAACAGACCCTCCAAAGAGCCTTTGATAAAAAAACCTTGTTGAAGTCCTAAGGCCCCAATATTGACACAAGCCTTGTATCTGTAAATGACTACAGAGCTCATATCAAGCCCTGTCCTGATTCTGAAGGCCCCTACTCTAAACTCTTATCGTAGCCCTTCTAGTGCCTCTTAGAATCTTAAAAAAACTCGTAGCCCCTCTAGCACCCCTTAGCATTTTCAAAAAAGAAACTTATCGTAGCCCTTCTAGAACCCCTTAGAATCTTCAAAAAAAACTTACCGTAGCCCTTCTAGAACCACTTGGAATCTTCAAAAAAGCAATTATCGTAGCCCTTCTAGAACACCTTAGAATGTTCAAAAAAAATTATCGTAGCCCTTCTAGAACCCCTTAGAATCTTAAAAAAAGAACTTATCGTAGCCCTTCTAGAACCCCTTGGAATCTTCAAAAAATCATCGTAGCCCTTCTAGAACCCGCTTAGAATCTTCAAAAAAAGCGATAAGCAGGACCCTAAAGCCCGACAATAGCTGCCGATTCCTCCAGGAACCACGTCTTCGACCGGCCTCTCGAACCCGTTTAACGGTTTCTTCAGAACGAGATTCATAGCGTTTTGGGGTTTAGGGCTTAGGGCTAAAGGCTTTGGGTTAGGGGTTCAGGGTTAGGGGTTCAGGGTTTGGGGTTTGGGGCATGGTGTTTCTTCAGAAAGAGAGTCATAGGGTCTTGGGGTTTGGGTTTAAACTGCTAAACCTGAAATAACCCAAACCCTAAACCCTGATAGGCTTATAGGTACCCTTGTAGAACTCCTAGAAACCCATGAAACCTTACAAGCACCACTAGAATCTTAGAACCCTCAAAAACTCATAAAATTACTACACATGAAGCCCTCCCTCCAACGTGCCCTTCGAGGAGCCCTTACAGGAACCCCGAAAGGAGCGCTCAAGGGAAATCTGACGCGGAGCCCCCAAAACCGTACACCCTAAACCCCTACACCCTAAACCCCTACACCCTACACCCTAAACCTCTACGCCCTAAACCCCTACACCCTGAACTCCTACGCCTTTAAACCCCTACACCCTACACCCTAGACCCCTACACCCTAAACCCCTACACCCTGAGGCCCTACATCCTAAACCCTCACGCCTTTAAACCCTAAGCCCCTACACAAAGCCCCCACGCCTTTTTTTTCTTCAGTGTAAGCCTCAAACTCGAGGCAGGCTTGCTCAGACGAAAAGGCCAATACACTTTAAAATAAAAATAAAAAACCCTACACCCCCCCGCCTTTAAACCCCTCCAGAGGTCCTGGCGTGAGGCTTTGGCCTTGGCCGCGCTCTCCCGCCGCGAGCTCCTGGACCTTCTTCGGGAGCTTCAGGGCTCCAAAAGGCCCCGAACGTTTAGGGTTTGGGGTTTAGGGTTTAGGGTTTAGGGAAGTTGAGGGTTTAGGGAAGTTGAGGGTTTAGGGAAGATGAGGGTTTAGGGAATTTGAGGGGTTTTGGGAAGTTGAGAGTTTCGGGAAGTTGAGGGTTTAGGGTGTATGGATTTAGGGGTTTAGGGTTTAGGTGTCTTTTTTCGGTACTGTAGTACGGGTTTGGGGTTTTAAGGGTGCAGGGCTCCAAAAGGCAACCGCGCTGTCCGTCCTCTGCTGTATTATCGAAAACTTCGACATCTAACCGAAACCCTATACACTCGTTTGAAGCCCCCGCGCCAGGCTGGTCGTTGCGGCTGTGGTCGGTGGCCGTGCCAAGCCACGCCCCAAGTGAGGATCATCCCGGCTCTGCTTTGGAAACCAGAGAGGTTGGCCAACTAGCAGGCGCTGACCTCGAAACTCTGAAGGAAATGAGCATCTCGCAATTTCATAATGATGGCAACACCACCTGCAGCTATACTCTATGTCCAGAGCGTTCACTGGAAACCGTGAGTCAAGATGCCCGGACCTCGTGAAGCCGTGCAGATACGGCCCAGAAACGCCGGCAACTTCCTTCCCAGGCCTACAGAGGCCTATACTTCAACAACTCGTGATTTAACGGTTTAGGGTTTAGGGCCCTACACAACCTTATCTGATGGCAATCGAAAGGGGCTGTCCGGGCGGCGCCGCCGCGGAACGCCAGGCGCGGGATTTGGGTTTTTGCGGATTAGAGATGCTTTAAAACAAGACTTCCCACTTGCACGGCTTTTGGAAGTTTTGAGGTTTTGGCTTCGAGGGTTTTGTGTGGGTGAACTTTACAGTAGAATATGTTTCGAAGGGGGTTCTCCTAAACCCTAAACCCGCATTTCCTGTATGCTTTCGGGCTCACGTCACAGGTTTCATCCTCTCTTCGCTTCTGGGGGCCAGGATCAACAGTCTGATCATTCGAGATAACCCTAAGACTCCATGTAGAACCCAGTATTAATATTAATATATATATATATATATAGTTATATCTATATGTATATACCTATCTATCTATCTATCTATCTATCTATATCTATCTGTATCTATCTATATCT